AGGTTTTCTAAAATTCGAAGAATTTGATTGTCTTTTAATGGTTGCCAATGTTGAATCAGTATGATTTGTGGCACATTGACTTTTTAGATGTAATCTTTCATATGCGCTTTCTCTAAGGCCAACAGAGGTCTAAATTAAGCATTGTAGACCTCTCTTTCATAATACAAATTCAATTAAAATTGAAACTATTTTCATTTTTGCCGATTCAACAAATTTGGTACCAGCGTAAAACCTCTGGTAGTGTGTATATATATATATTTATATGTGTTCTCTTTTCAAAATCTTCTGTTCCCTATTATGTGAATGAAAAATCACAGAATGGATTGAATCATCATGAAGGCATGAGTCTAGAGCAAAGGCACGCAGACCACTCAGTGTAAGAGTTGACAAGCATTTACAAGAGAGACTAGAGAGAGGACATTTTGATAGTCCCTTTAAAAATTTGGTCATGACCAATACAAGTGAGAACATTTCATGTGTGGTGTAACATGCTGAATGATATGATTGCTTTGAGATATATATATATATTAATATATTTTTCCCCGACAATGGTGGTGTCGAGCCTCTTAGAGCACTCAAAAATCTACCATTGGTAACATGCATTCCCGTCTCACGTGCACCAGACTATTACCCAGAGATTCTCTGAGGATCCAAAGAATAAAAACTCCCAACCCTTGACATATTATATTGTGTTAAAAAGATGTGCAGAATTGGTGACTTTTTGTTATCAAACATAGTTTCTTGTACACATATTAGTTGCTCTCATATTCAAGTCCACATATTAATGCTTGTATATCCGAAGGGTAAAAAATCTTTTCCTAAATTCTTACCCTTAAATAAAGAGAGATATATGAGATCAGGGTATGAAGATTAGGATGTGGTTGGAGTAATCATAACATCCAAATCAGCTCACTTGTAGCTAAACAAGAAAAAATATCAGGTACAGATGTTTTACCCCAAATATTTTTTGGAGTTCTGATTCATTTGTCTTGAGTCATGAACTTGTAGCATTGGCGTTATAGCTAAAAATTGCAGTACTATAAAGTTGACATGCAATACGGAGCTGCCTAGGCAATTTTCTATCATAACAGTCTTGAGAGTTGAGACTTAGTGTTACATCCAAACACAAAGATGACCTAAACTTTCATTGAAAGTGTAGGCAATTTTTTAACAGGACAATTAATTTTCTAGGTTTCATTGTTCTTTATGATAGGCAAGAATTTCATATAGAAGTTCTCTTTAATTTTGTCTATGCCTTCATCCATTCAATGAAATTGTTGAAATTCTTGTGAGAACAGCCACCTTCTGTAACACTACCTCTAGCCATTTCTTTAAGCTCCAAAGCTCTTTCTTTGAATTTCTGATTGCTAAGCACTTGATCCACCTTATCCTTGATCTCTCCTTGTGTTATGATTCCACTTTGATCTGGTTTGAACCCTAATCCAGCCTTCCAAACCTCACAAATGTAGCTCTGATTAAGAAACTGGTCTGCGAAGTAAGGCCAGCACAGGAAAGGGACTCCATTGCTCAAACCCTCCATGGTAGAGTTCCAACCACAATGGCTTAAGAAGCATGCAACAGAAGGATGACTCAGAACCTTTTGTTGAGGTGCCCAACCCACCATTCGTGCACGAGCTGCTACTCTGTCTCTAAATCCTTCTGGGTAAGGATCAATTGTGTTGTGAGTTAAATCTGGCCTCACAACCCATAGGAATGGCCTGTCGGTGAGCTCAAGTCCCAGAGCCAGTTCTTGGAACTGGTTGTGGTCAAAGATTGTGAAGCTCCCAAATGCTACATAGATGACTGATCTGGGTGGTTGTAGATCAAGCCATTTCAGGCAGGCTGAGTCTTCTGGCCAGAAATAACCTGCTGAGTTTCCAAGCCGATTGCTTGCCAAAAGTGGACCTATTGGTAAGATGTTTGGAAACAAGGTAAATGCTTCAGGCTCTAGCTCATAAGTTGAGTTGCAAATCAGCCAGTCCGCTACTTTCACAGATTTGGTATTTCTCACCATAACTTCAAAAATAATTTTTTGGGTGGTCACGTCACCAATGCAGGTCCATGCTAAGTGTGCTGTGCTCGTGGCTGGCATGGTTGGTGACAACCTAATCATCTGGTTATTAATTGGAAATCCTGCAGCATGAATCCCATTAGAAACCAAAAATTTCATGGCTGAAGTCTCCTTTGATCGTACTTTGTACCAGAGTGCAATAAGAAGTGATACAAAGAAACTAAAGGGAGGGAGGGTAAGAGGTGATTCCTTCCAGTAGGTCTGGAGGATACAGAAAGAAAATGTTCTTTATTTTAATAGTAATAATAACAATAACCAAGATGGTTAACTCTAGCCTGTTGTGTACTATTTGGGTTGATCTTTAGTGTAACATTCTTGTTTTTCCTTAGATTCACGCCTTTGGAAGGCTATCCAGTCTGTGAATGACCTTAGAGTTTAAACCTCTTAGATGCATCGTGATAAAATTTCTGGACTTGCTACCAATTTTTTTTTGGTTATATCTATTGTTATTGTAATACATCCTTAATACACAACATCTTTTCTATAGTATTCATAACTATGCAGAATTTTGGAATTATTGCACATTTTTCTACAATGACAAGTTATATGCCTTTTATTGATTTATTTTTTTTCTCTAAGGTTATGTGTTGCTGCATGGTTTTATCTGCTTGACTTCACTATTGTAATTTTTTCACCTTATTGATGGTTATTTCCCAATACATTTCCCTAGTCCCCAAGCATATAAAAGTTCATAATTTGAATTGCAATGTTGTCAAAACTGGTATTAATTTTTATGTCTGGTTTATGCAAAGTTGGAGGCAAAAGGTCTCACCTTCATTGTTTATGATTTTGTCATCAATTAGCTTGGGAATGCTCAATCCCAAGGCCAACATTGCTGCTGCTGCAGGCCAGAAGGCTGCTCGCCTGATTCCCATCTTCTCCGCAACTTCCAGGGCCCATCCCATACTCTCATCTGCAATAATGCAAGTGATCTCATTGCCGTTTGATTCATTAATCTTCACTATAAGCTCCTCAAGCTTTCCAGGCATGACTTGAAAAATTGCTTCTGTTAGCTTCCCCAAGTCATTTCTGTCCTCCCAGGACGCCAACCCGTCTGGGATTGAAACCAGACGTATCTCGTCCCCTATATTATTTTTCTGTGACAATCCTTTCATGACCCGTTCGTGGTTAAAGTCAGTGTTTACAAATGTGACATTGAAACCGTTTGTGACTAACCACTGCGCAAGCTCCATCAGAGGAATTACATGGCCTTGTGCTGGGTAAGGTATAGCTAGAACATGTGGCTTGCCCATCTTAATTTCTTCTTTTACTGAATCTCTGCAGATGTTGTTAGTATTACAAGTATTTTGTAAAGAACTCTACACGTCACTTGTATAGTTAGTCTAGAGGTATATATGACTGACAATCCTATGCTAAAATGGTGTCCATTTGCTTTGGTGTTTTTATGAGTCTCAAAGTTGAAAATTGATCACCTCTTCCTTGTCATTTTCTCATGACTGGTATTAGTTTTGTCCTTTGTTACCGGATTTTACTGATATTTGGTTTATTTCCCTTGTCTTTATATTTTATATGGTTCTTTCCTTGAGGATTTCTTAGCTTCACTTTTGTTCTCTTATGTAACTGCATACCTATGTTGTCCTAGGTAATGTAACTATGTATATTTCATTCTGTGGAAGTATTGCAATTATTAGGGATGAAGATTACAAGTTTGTTGCTTCCTTGCATGTATGTAACATTCCTTTATTAATACAACACAGTATTAAATGGAATCTCACCATATCTAGCAGCGAGAAAGAATTGGGAGCTAGCATTGGGTGATTGGATTGATGCTTAGTTTTCTTAGAAAATTTTAAAAAGGTTTTCTAAAATTCGAAGAATTTGATTGTCTTTTAATGGTTGCCAATGTTGAATCAGTATGATTTGTGGCACATTGACTTTTTAGATGTAATCTTTCATATGCGCTTTCTCTAAGGCCAACAGAGGTCTAAATTAAGCATTGTAGACCTCTCTTTCATAATACAAATTCAATTAAAATTGAAACTATTTTCATTTTTGCCGATTCAACAAATTTGGTACCAGCGTAAAACCTCTGGTAGTGTGTATATATATATATTTATATGTGTTCTCTTTTCAAAATCTTCTGTTCCCTATTATGTGAATGAAAAATCACAGAATGGATTGAATCATCATGAAGGCATGAGTATAGAGCAAAGGCACGCAGACCACTCAGTGTAAGAGTTGACAAGCATTTACAAGAGAGACTAGAGAGAGGACATTTTGATAGTCCCTTTAAAAATTTGGTCATGACCAATACAAGTGAGAACATTTCATGTGTGGTGTAACATGCTGAATGATATGATTGCTTTGAGATATATATATATATTAATATATTTTTCCCCGACAATGGTGGTGTCGAGCCTCTTAGAGCACTCAAAAATCTACCATTGGTAACATGCATTCCCGTCTCACGTGCACCAGACTATTACCCAGAGATTCTCTGAGGATCCAAAGAATAAAAACTCCCAACCCTTGACATATTATATTGTGTTAAAAAGATGTGCAGAATTGGTGACTTTTTGTTATCAAACATAGTTTCTTGTACACATATTAGTTGCTCTCATATTCGAGTCCACATATTAATGCTTGTATATCCGAAGGGTAAAAAATCTTTTCCTAAATTCTTACCCTTAAATAAAGAGAGATATATGAGATCAGGGTATGAAGATTAGGATGTGGTTGGAGTAATCATAACATCCAAATCAGCTCACTTGTAGCTAAACAAGAAAAAATATCAGGTACAGATGTTTTACCCCAAATATTTTTTGGAGTTCTGATTCATTTGTCTTGAGTCATGAACTTGTAGCATTGGCGTTATAGCTAAAAATTGCAGTACTATAAAGTTGACATGCAATTCGGAGCTGCCTAGGCAATTTTCTATCATAACAGTCTTGAGAGTTGAGACTTAGTGTTACATCCAAACACAAAGATGACCTAAACTTTCATTGAAAGTGTAGGCAATTTTTTAACAGGACAATTAATTTTCTAGGTTTCATTGTTCTTTATGATAGGCAAGAATTTCATATAGAAGTTCTCTTTAATTTTGTCTATGCCTTCATCCATTCAATGAAATTGTTGAAATTCTTGTGAGAACAGCCACCTTCTGTAACACTACCTCTAGCCATTTCTTTAAGCTCCAAAGCTCTTTCTTTGAATTTCTGATTGCTAAGCACTTGATCCACCTTATCCTTGATCTCTCCTTGTGTTATGATTCCACTTTGATCTGGTTTGAACCCTAATCCAGCCTTCCAAACCTCACAAATGTAGCTCTGATTAAGAAACTGGTCTGCGAAGTAAGGCCAGCACAGGAAAGGGACTCCATTGCTCAAACCCTCCATGGTAGAGTTCCAACCACAATGGCTTAAGAAGCATGCAACAGAAGGATGACTCAGAACCTTTTGTTGAGGTGCCCAACCCACCATTCGTGCACGAGCTGCTACTCTGTCTCTAAATCCTTCTGGGTAAGGATCAATTGTGTTGTGAGTTAAATCTGGCCTCACAACCCATAGGAATGGCCTGTCGGTGAGCTCAAGTCCCAGAGCCAGTTCTTGGAACTGGTTGTGGTCAAAGATTGTGAAGCTCCCAAATGCTACATAGATGACTGATCTGGGTGGTTGTAGATCAAGCCATTTCAGGCAGGCTGAGTCTTCTGGCCAGAAATAACCTGCTGAGTTTCCAAGCCGATTGCTTGCCAAAAGTGGACCTATTGGTAAGATGTTTGGAAACAAGGTAAATGCTTCAGGCTCTAGCTCATAAGTTGAGTTGCAAATCAGCCAGTCCGCTACTTTCACAGATTTGGTATTTCTCACCATAACTTCAAAAATAATTTTTTGGGTGGTCACGTCACCAATGCAGGTCCATGCTAAGTGTGCTGTGCTCGTGGCTGGCATGGTTGGTGACAACCTAATCGTCCTGGCTTTAATTGGAAATCCTGCAGCATGAATCCCATTAGAAATAAAGAATTTCATGGCTAAAGTCACACGTTTGTATAACTATTATTGTATAACTTATGAGTGACTTCCAAGTAATAAGCAGAATTTGGAATTATTGCACATTTTTCTACAATGACAAGTTATATACCTTTCATTTATTTATTTTTTCTTTAAGGTTATATGTTGCTGCATGGTTTTATCTGCTTAAATTCACTATTGTAATTTTTTCACCTTATTAATTGTTGTTTCCCAATACAATATCCTAGTCACCAAGCATATAGAAGTTCATACTTTGAATTTGCATTGTTGCCAAAAATGGTAGTATTAATTTTTATGTCTGGTTTATGCAAAGTTGGAGGCAAAAGGTCTCACCTTCATTGTTTATGATTTTGTCATCAATTAGCTTGGGGATGCTCAATCCCAAGGCCAACATTGCCGCTGCTGCAGGCCAGAAGGCTGCTCGCCTGATTCCCAACTTCTCGGCAACTTCCAGGGCCCAACCAATACTCTCATCCGCAATAACGCCAGTGATATCTTCGCTATCTGATTCATTAATCTTCACTATGAGCTCCTCAAGCTTTTCCGGCATGACTCGAAAGATTGCTTCTGATAGCTTTCCCAAATCATTTCTGTCCTCAGAGGATGCCAACCCATCCGGAATTGAAACCAGATGTATCTCATCCCCTATGTTATTTTTCTCTGAGAATGCATCAGTCACACGTTTGTGGTTAAACTCAGTGTTTACAAAGGTGACATTGAAACCGGCTGTGACTAAGTACTGCGCAAGCTCCATCAGAGGAATTACATGGCCTTGTGCTGGATAAGGTATGGCTAGAACATGTGGCTTGCCCATTTTTCTTCTTTTTCTGTCCCTGCAGATTTTACTAGTATAACAAGTACTTCACCATTCAGTTAGTCCTGAGGCATATATGATTGAGAATTGTATGCTAAAATTGGGTCCATTTTCTTTGTTTTCTTATGAGTCTCAAAGTTGAATTAAACTACTCTTCCTTGTCATTTTTCTCATGTCTGATATTAATTTTCTCCTTTGGATGTTACTGATATTTTCCAAATTTCCCTTGTCTTTATACCATATGCAGGGCTCCAACTTGGACGAGCTAATCAGTCTAATCCGAAATTTTAAAATTTAGACTTTAAATTCACAAATCGGACTCATGTTCGGATTGTGTTTTGTCAAAATTCAGACATATTCGGGTTGGCTCCGCTCAACCGAATTTAACCGAAACCCAAAATTTAAATTAAAAAAATTTATTTTTTTTTGCTCCTTTGTCTCTCCTCTCTCTTTCTCTCTCTCTCCGCCGTCCCCTCTGCTGCCGTTGCCGCCGCCGCCGCTCTTACAGAACATGATTAATTGATTTGTAAAACAAGAATTACAATCTTACAGACCTTGATTAATTGATTTAGAAAAAAAAATTAAAACAAAACCCATACATACAATTTAGCAGTTGCACAGAGAGAGGGAGGCAAGCTTGAGAGTTGAGAGACAGCGGCTGAAGCTTGCGAACGGCAAACCCGAACTGGAACAGCGGGCGGTGGAAACTGAAAGATCTGGGTTTTGATTTTTTTGAACAATCTGAAATGATATGCCGATCTGGGTTTTGATTTTTTCAACAATCTGAAATGATATGCCGATATGGGTTTTGAACTATTGATTCTTGCATACAGATAGATAAAACTGAAATATATGGGTTTTGAACTTCTGATTCTTGTAGATTTTGTAGTTTGCAGTTGGAAAGAGAGAGAGAGGGGGGGCAAGTTCAGAGAGAATAGAGATGGAGGTCATAGGGGAGGCTGAAATGATTTGCCCTAAAAATATTTTGTGTTTTTTTTTTTAATAATATAATCAAATATATAATATATATATATATATATATAGTCTATTTGTCATTCTCTCTCCCTAGGAATATCTTAGCTTCAGTTTTGTTCTGTTATGCATCTCTTGTCCTCGATAATATAACTATATATATTTCATTCTGTGGAAGTATTAGAATTATTAAGGATAAAAATTTAATGGATGTTGCTTCCCTTGCATGTATGTGACATTCCTTTATCAACACAACATGTCTAGCAGCCAGAAAGAAGTGGGAGCTAGCATTGGGAGATTGGATTTATGCATAGTTTTCCTTGAAAATTTTATAAAAAGGAAAAAAAAAAAATAATTCAAAATATTTTGTATAGTATTCATAACTATTATTGTATAACTTATGAGTGACTTCCAAGTTATAAGCATAATTTGGAATTATTGCACATTTTTCTACAATGACAAGTTATATGCCTTACATTTATTTATCTTTTCTTAAAGTTTTTGTGTTGCTGCATCGTTTTATCTGCTTAAATTCACTATTGTAATTTTTTCACCTTATTAATAGTTGTTTCCCAATATAATATCCTAGTCACCAAGCATATAGAAAAAGTTCATACTTTGAATTTGCATTGTTGTCAAAAATGGTACTAAATATGCATTCAATTGCCTAATTATTATGTCAGGTTTATGCTAAGTTGGTGGCAAAAAGTCTCACCTTCATTGTTTATGATTCTGTCATCAATTAGCTTGGGGATGCTGAATTCCAAGGCCAACATCGCTGCTGCTGCAGGCCAGAAGGCTGCTCGCCTGATTCGCAACTTCTCGGCAACTTCCAGGGCCCAACCCATACTCTCATCACCATCTGATTCATTAATCTTGACTATGAGCTCCTCAAGCTTTGCAGGCATGACTCGAAAGGTTGCTTCCCATAGCTTCCCCAAGTCATTTTTGTCCTCCCAGGACGCCAACCCATCCGGGATTGAAACCAGATGTATCTCATCCCCTATGCTCTTTTTCTCCGAGAATGCATTAGTCACCCGTCTGTGGTCAAACTCGGTGTCTACAAACGTGACACTGAAACCGGCTGTGATTAAGCGCTGGGCAAGCTCCATCAGAGGAATTACATGGCCTTGTGCTGGGGAAGGTACAGCTAGAACATGTGGCTTGCCCATCTTAATTTCTTCTTTCACTGAATCTCTGCTCTGCTGGTTTTGCTAGTATTACAAGTACTTAATTTATAACGAAATCTACACATTACTTATATATCGTTAGTCCAGAGCAACTAAAGTAATGTCCATACACTAAATGTCTGGAGGTCATTACATATTAATGTTAGCAAGGTACAGCTAGAACTGTTAGGTGAAGTTTGTGGTGCTGAAATATGCATGTGGAGAACATGTCTGGCTGATACCACACAGCGGTACAAGGATTGAAAGCTCTCTGCATGACATACATCAATGGTTTATATTACACCACATCAACATTACCAGTTTCTTTAGTTTTATTAAATTGGTTGATGCGGTATAATATAAGCCATTGGTGTATGTAAAATGTCACTTGTCAATGTCTTGATAATTCAACTTATGATAATGTAAAAATCTTTCAACTTAAGAGGATCCTTGTTCTAAACCGTGGTGGTGGAAGTGAATGAATGTGTGGAGGTGAATTTTGGAGTGTGCAGGCATTGAATGAAAAGGGAATAGAAGAAAATGTCTCAGAATGAGAAATAAAAGTGTGTTCTTGGGAGAAATTATTAGGTAGTCTAAGACCATGTGATCCCAGTCAATCATGAGATGCTAAGCAACCAAAAAGCTGAATGAAGCTGACACATTTGGTTGTATGGCATCTTGTGATTGGTCATGATCACATGGTCCCGGACCACCTAATAGTTTCTCGTGTTTTTGGTGAATTGTATTTATAGTGCATTTAATGCACTGTTGGGTAAGGCCTTAAAAACTTCCTACATATAGGTGTGCGCATTTTGGGCACCGAAGTGTGTAAGGGACAAACGTGGAAGAGAGTGGTTTGGGAACCAAAGAGTGTGTAGAGGGACGAACAACAGAGGGACAAACAGTGAGAAGTGTGTTGGGTATCGAGCAGTGAAAGGAAAAATAGAGGATGGTGAGAAAAACACAGCGGGTAGTCAAAGACCCGAGTGTAGTGAGTTTTTGGAGTGGGAAAATGATTAAAGCCCCGATCAGTTTTTATAACCAACTGATGTGGCAATCATCGAATTAAACACTTTAAAAGAAGAGAGAGACTCATCTTATTGATTAGTGTGTATGAATCCTTATTGGACACTGTTTATTGGAGTAGCCAAAAAACCGATTCGGGCATTGTAGCATTACTCTTTGGAGTGTTCATTGTTCTTGTATTTACACTTTTGTGTATAACTTGACTAGAAATCCTCTGTAGTTTTTCCTTTAATAGTGGAATATTGTTGGTTTGTCCTATGGTTTTTCCCTATATTGTTGGAGGTTTTTCCACGTTTTTTTCAAGGCAAGAAACAAGGCAATACATGTATTAAAGTAAAGAAACATTGTTTTTCTCTACATCCACAAGAACTGGAGGAAAGCAGTCAAAAAAAGAAGCACACTTGTAAGTTCAAAGAATACTTGCCCATAGAATGGGCATCCCCATTGGCTTCTCTATAAATATGACTGAGATCCCAGCCCTCACACAGCTCCATCAAGTCCGAAACATCTTCTACAGACGTCTCTCAAAACAAAGGACATTGCTGGTTTTTGCTAATAACATCCACAGCAAAATGAACCAACTGGTAGCCCGTCACGAACAGCCATCATAGAACTTCTGAGATAAGAACTTCTGCTAAGGAAGCATCCTTAGTATGCCTGAAAACAAAAGAAGCAGCAACTATGATCCATCCTCTGTGATCGCGAACCACAAGACCACCAACGCCACACGCACACTGGATACTTACTGCAGCATCAACATTGGCTTTCAGGTAACCAAAATCAGGTTTTCTCTATTAAGATGTTCATTCAATAGAGTTAAAGAGGTCACCAAGCTCGTTGAATTAACTGGGTCAGATTTAAAAGTATCGGCAGAGTTCAAATACTGAAGGAAGTGAGCCTCTGCAATGGAAATGATCTTCCCTCAGACCAAACATCTCCCCCAAACACAACAGCGTTTCTGGCTTCACATACCAACATAAGTTAGCAACCAAACCTTCCCAGAATGTCTTTGATTTGCATTTTCCCAACCTTCCACCAAGTTCAACCACCACGCACTCCAAGAGCTACCTTGAATTACTGAGACATTGTTTCTCAAGGGAGAGGATTTCCAAACATGAGCTGCTCTTCGACAATCACATAGCATATGCTTTAAAGTTTCCCACAAACCTTAGCTAGATTCTGTAATGCCCCTTCTAACCAAGACGTCCAAAACCGCCACCTTATCATGCATACATCTCCATAAGAAGCGTTGAATTTTGGGCTTTATTGGAAGATTACACAACCTACTCCAATATTTTTCTCTAGCCCCAACATTGCTGCTTCCCGCTACACAAGAGTTGTTCCTTAACCTTCTTGTTTCAGCTTCAAAGCAACAGAGTAAGCCGACTTTACAGAGAATATACCACTAGATGCATAACCCCGTATTTGCTTATCATCTTTCAATTGAAGACCAGTGAATAACCCCGCACTTGGAGGGATTATGTCAGTGAAGACTTCGTGTGAAGCCTTGGCCACAACAAAACTAGCAGCTAAGATGCTGCTCCATGCCCAAGAAGGGTTATGACCATTTTTCACACAAGAAAATCAGAGAATGGAAAGTATTTGATCTTGAAAAGCTCATAAAAAAGCCCATTTTTAGTTATCTGTAGTCTCCACCCTAGCTTGGCAAGGAGAGCAAAGTTGAAAGCCTCCACGTCTCTAAAACCAAGCCCCACACTTCTCTTTGGAACCACCATTTTATCCCAATCTGTCCAGTGAATTTTCTTACTACCTTCAGCACTACCCTACCAAAAATTGGCAATGTGTTGTCTCAAAATATTACACAAATTCTTTGGCAACTTGAAACAAGGCATAGTATAGGCTGTGACAGCTGTGAGTATAAATGTAAGGAGAATCTCCTATATACTGCTGCTTCATACGATGCAAAGAAAAGAGGCTTCACTGGAATTGTTTGTGCTTCTTTTGTGGCAAATCAGTTGGTAAATTGGGCACAATATGGTTAACAGCACGTCTTTGAAATGTCCCTCACGAGGAATCATAAATTAATACACAATTGGAATGTTCGATTGCTAAACTGAAGCAGAGATGAACAGAAAAACCAAGTTGGTTATCAAATAAATAAAACAATTAAAATAAAAGAAAGAGAGAAGAGAAGGAAAGGTAAAATGATTTCCAAGTTCTACCTGATCGGTTTATAATCTCCATTATAGCAAGTTCTAGTGCCCCGTTTTTCTTCTTGACAGTCATCGGATTTTATTTTACCAGTAATCTCCACAAGAACACGACCCATCTGTGAAATGGTGAAATCTACTACTATCCCTGACAATAATCTTTCTCCCAACAACTTTGGAGATAAACTTAATTGCAGAATGGCAATCCACGCACACCCTTATATTTTTCTTCACTATGATTGGTTTCCCACTTGGCATGCTTATTAGCGCAAATGCAATAGCTATCCTCTCACTATGACGCTGAAGAAGTTTCTCCTTCACACTATCATCCATATCAAGTGGAATAGAATCTGTGAAGGGAACATATCCAGCTTCCTTTATCTGATCCAAAAGACTATCAAGCTTCTCATAAATTTCTCTCTGTCGAGGATGAGACCAATCTTCAGCGCCGAAAACATGGGTTTTGTTACTTACATCAACCCAACTATAACCAGGCAGTTTCTGCACATTTCCATCTTTCATCATCTTTCTGATACTCCTTACATCATCCCATTGTCGTTCCTTTGCATAAATATTCGAAAGCAAAACATGAACCCCACTGTTCTCAGGTTCAAGCCTCATCAGTTGTTCTGCTGCAAGCTTACCCCTTTCCTTATCACCATGTATCCTGCAAGCCCCAAGAAAAGAACACCACGCGGAAGCATTTGGCTCAAAAGGCATGCTACATATAATTTGTTCGGCATCTTTAAGCCTTCCAGCTCGGGCAAGCAAATCAATAACACACGAGTAATGTTCTGATCTAGGTGTCACACCATAAGTATTTTCCATGGAATAAAAATAATTTAAACCTTCCTCTACCAATCCTGCATGGCTACACCCATTCAAAAGACTCACAAACGTTATTTCATTCAGTTTCACTCCACAAAGGATCATCCTTTCAACAATTTTTATTGCATCTTTCCCTAAACCATGATGAGCAAACACACTCAACAAGGAATTCCACGCGATATCCGTTGGGTTTTCAGTCTCCTTAAACACTTGGATTGAGTGATCAAGCAACCCACTTTGCCCATACATATAAACTAGAACTGAAGAAACAAAAGGGTCTAGCTCAAAGTTAAATTTAATTATTTGTGCATGAAGTTGATGTCCTTGTTCAAGTGCAGCTTCGTCAGCACAGGCCTTTATCAAACTAGAGAAAGTGAACTCATTAGGCTCAATCCCCCGCCTCCGCAACTCGACAAAAATACTCAAAGCCATCTCAATTTGATTTGCCTCGACATACCCATTGATCAGTGAAGTATACGACACTACATTCCTACATTCTGAATCAGATCTGAATACATTTAAAGCACTTCCCATACATCCAGCTTTCGAGTACATATCCATAAGCGCATTGCCAACCGCAATAGCCGATTCAAATCCTAACCTCACAACACTTGAATGAATGGACTTTGCAAAACTATAGGCCTTCAAGGCCACACAGGCACTCAAAGTACTACAAAGCACATGCTGGTCAATAGCTACAGCAGCTTCACAAACCATCTTCTTATAAGCTAACAAAGCTTCTTCACAGTCACCATTTTTTGCATACCCATCAATCATAGCAGTCCACGACACCTCATCCTTACATGGCATCTCCTCAAAGACCTTACACGCATCACCCATCACCCCACACTTGGAATACATGTCAGCTAAATTACTACCCACATATAACTCATCACACAGCCCACATTTCAAAGCAAGACAATGCATTTGCTTCCCCAACTCAATTGACCCAAGAGACACCGAAGCTCGAATAACGCTCGAGAATGCGAACTGGTTCGGGGTTTCACCTGCCATTCGCATCTGAGAAAAGGTTTTTACAGCTTCTGAGAATTCCGAATTCTGTGACAACCCAGAAATCATTGCAGTCCAAGAAACCAGATTTCTGTGGGGCATTGTGTCGAACAGTTTGAGGGCGTCGTCTAGTTGGCCACACTTGATGTACATTGTGAGGAGGTGATTGGTGAGGAAGGTGGTGCATAGTGTGTGGCCGGCGCAGATTAGCTGAGCGTGGATCTGTTTGCCTTTGTTTAGCTGATTCGTTTGCGCGCAAGTTTGAATAACGTGCGCCAAGGTGGTAGAGTCCCTGATCACTTGCTTGCTCAAGATGTGAAATTTCATAGGAGAGCCTTTGAGCAGAGAACGAAAGGTTGCGCTAACTTGCGCCCCTGCAGTCACCGGAAGAACACTCACCGGTGAATGGAAACCGAGAACAGAGCGTCCAATCCAAGGTTCGTTCTCTCTCTTGTCGCAGACTCGCAGTGAAGGATATATATACTAAGGGCCGTTTGGCGGGTTAGAATTTTAAAAAAAACATTTTTGTCACCTAATCTAAAAATCATTTTTGTTTGGTAACAACATTTTTATAAATACTTTTATTTTAAATTTTACTTGACAATAATGTTTTATAATAAGGGACTTTTAGAGTAAAGTAAAGTGGTCTTAGTGTAACCCCGTAGCCAAACGTAGTTTGCATATTTACAAATACATGAACCAAGTTCTATTTTAGTCCTTTATTAAATTGAATTTATATTTTTACCCCTACGAGTTTACTTTATGCACAATTTATCCAAAGAACAACTTATTCAAGTCTTAGAATGTTGTCAAACAGCACTTAGGAACTGCTTCATAGCGCTAAAATTAGGAAACACAACACGTAGTCTACAAAGAAGAATTGAAGAACTTAGATCTAGAATTATATTAATACAAAATATTTTAGAAGATAGACGGCAACGATTTTAGTTTATGAATAGACTTGACTTTAATAATTTAGATACTTTTATAAAACGATTAGGAGAAAATTTAGATTATATTAAAGAGTAAGTAGTACAGAATTCTAGTCCAAATAATTTAGATAACAAGATAATATTGGTCGCCATTAAAGATATTAATAGTGATATCAAAAATATTACTGAAAATCAAAAAATAATCGTAGACTATTTTAAATCCCTTAAAACCGATATCTAAAGGTTATTACAATAATTTTATAAGCACCAGTAATCCTGATTATTTAATCGCGTTAGTTGAACTTTACAAAATTGATAAAGAACCATAGGATTTACAAGCTTTAAAACAGACGTATAATCAACTAATATACATATTAGACAAAATAACTTTTTAATCCAGTTATCTGATAAAATTAATAAACTTGAAGAGAAATTAGAAGTGATACAAGAAAGTATTCCCAATTATACGATGACTACTAGAGAATTCAGTAAACATATTAAGATAGCTATATCTACAAAAGGATATAATATGACAGGACAATTTGAAAATCTATTAATTAATACTTTATTTATGGGAAAGGCAGTTAATCAGTATAACTTAAAATTTAAAGCCCAATTTAGTGAAATAGTTAAACCTTTTAGTAGCAAATATGTCTAGATGATAGAAGCCAGGAAAGTAAGCAGTATTACCCATGAAGGAACAGAATGGAAATTACCTAAACTTACTACTACACCTAAAAAGATTCCGGAAAATAATATGATATATGTTTCAAATAGCGGAGATGCTAGCATAAGGTTTAGTAATTATAAAAGACGAGACAATTTAGTTGATGATACCCAAGAAGACTTTTTAACTACACTAATTGAGATAGAATCTCCTGAGGAAATAAATATCCTTTATGATAGATTAGAAGATAAAATTCTAGATAAAATAATATACGATTTTGATAATTTAGAATTAGAAGCATTGCAAGACAAGTATCCAGAACCTAAATACTAATTTATCGAAAGTATTTACTTAGGATAAGGAAATAATGATAATATTAAGAAAAATATTCTAAGTGTCGGATTTGAATCCTTCTATACAACATTAGAATTAAACACAGTAAAAGAAGAGTTAAATGTAATAGAGCATAGAGAAGAGAAAGCACCAGAAGGATCAGACTCTCAGTCAATCGACCAAGAAATGAGTGACCAAAAAAAGACTAACACCTCAGGTAGTAATACCCTAAGTGATGACTTTACTACTGGACAAAGATTAAATCCCTCACGTAAAACTTATGTCGAAAATAGAAATATACTAGATATGTACACATTAACACAATATCGTAGACAATATGAAAATATACCAGCGCAACAATCAGGAACAATATAAGACATAGCAAGGCACGATCCCCAAGACTGGGCAAAGGTAATCGAATATTGGGAACAAGATTGTATTCGCCAATCTATTTTGACCAATTTTGACAATAGAACTCAAGCCTTAACTTATTGTGAAACCTTATTAAGAGAAACCATTCATAACTGGTGGCAGGCTTATAAAGTAATTTATCCCAATGATTATGCCATCCTACGTGATAATTTTACCATTCAAGGTTTTACCAGCCTCATTAAAAAGGTATTAGTTGGTGAAGATAGATTACTAAATGACACCTTAATAAAACAAAACCAAGCTTTACGTAATTTAGAATTACTACAGATTTGTGATTTTAGATACATAAAAAACTACACCAATAAGTTTTTTGAGTATTTTGCAGCCACTGGTAAAACAGGTGATAAAACATTACTTGATCGATATCTTCAGAAGTTACCCGGAAGCGTAGGAACTAAAATATGGGGAATATGGTTAGAAAATCCTAAACGCGATACGCTAACCATAGGAGATAAAGTTAATCATGTGTATAACATGTTAAAAGTAGAATGTCGACAACGTAAAGAGTCTAAACAAATCAAAAAACAATTTTATTTTACGTGTAGACAAATAGATTTTCCTCCCAAGTATGGGTGTATGCCTCAGAAAAATTACAATTATAAGCACAATAAACCTAAAAAATATAATCTGCGTAAAAGCAAGACCTACAAGAACTTTCGTAATAAAAAATCTTATGTCAGAACTAACCCTAGGCAATTCAAAAAGCGGCCTTGGTATAAAAAGTAAAAGATAAATAAAGATAAAAATGACAACAAAGACAAGGATAATAAGGTAAACATTTTACCCACAAAAGAAAGACACTGCAAATGTTTTATTTGTGGAGATCCAGGACACATTAGACCAAATTGCCCTCATACATACAAACAGAATCCTATTAAAAGGATACAAGAAAAGATCAACATACTTGAAGATATTGAAGGACAGATAGAGGAATTATATGAATTAGAAAGTATTTATAACTTTGACGATGATAATGAAAGTATATATAGTATCGAGAGTTTTGATAGCAATTTTGATAATAATGAAGACTTTGAACAAGGGCTTCATTTAATAGAAGATTTCGTTCACACTATAAGTAATCCATCATGTCAGTATAGCTTAGTTAGTTTTCAATTTTCTTCTTATAATTGTAAACAGTGCAATACACCTATTAAAAAAGGTTACTACTGTGAAAATCATTGTAAAACTTTATTATGTCATAATTGTTATACAAAATTTGAAGATAGGCAAGAAGATATTTTAGTCGAATCTATAAATTCAATAAATAAACTATCTAGTCTAATGCAATTCCCAGTAACATTAGAATTTAGAGAAAGATTAGTTCAAACTCCAGCTATGCTTGATACTGGAGCATCTAAAAGTATAATTCAAAAACATTTAGTTCCAGATGAAGCCTTAGTAAAGTTAAATTATAATGTTAACATGAGCCAGTATAATAATGAAAAACTTCCAATAACCCATTGTGTTCAAAACATTCATATATTAATTAATAATGAAAAGTTTGTTTTACCCCAGACTTATGTAGTTAATAATATTCCTAGCACCTATGATTTTATCTTAGGATTAAATTTTATAAACTCACTCACTGGAGGATTTATGTATACCCCTGTAGGTTTACAGTTTTTTAAGAAATAAACCTTTATTCCATCTAGAGATCCTTATATTCCTCAAAAAGATAAAGGAGCCATTACATATGTTAATACTTTACCTATGATAGAAGAAACGACAGAAAATTTATTTGATGTATCCGAATTTTTAGAAGATGTTTCTGAAGTCTTAATGTTTCTTAGTCATCTTGATGAACCAAAGATTTTCCTTAATAATAAAGTTATATTAAAAAACCCCAAACTAAACATTGATACTCTTATAAGACTAGCTGAAACTACTGAGATTCTAGGTGAAGATCCTCAGAAACACTGGTATAAAAATAAAATTGAAGCAAAATTAAATATAATAAATCCTTTTATAGCTATAAAGACACAAGATAATCCTCATACCTTAGACGATCAAGAAGAATTCCAAAAACAAATTAAGGAATTGCTATTACTAAAAATAATAAGAAAAAGTAATAGTAGACATAGGAGTCCAGCTTTTATGGTTAGAAATCATACCGAAATAAAAAGAGGAAAGGCTCGTATGGTTATAAATTATAAACGATTAAATGATAACACCTATGATGATAGTTATAAATCCCTAATAAAGACGTTTTAATAAATCGAATCCAAGATAGAAAATGGTATTCTAAATTTGACTGTAAATCAGGATTTTGACAAATCCGGATGGCTGATGAATCCATTGAATGGACAGCGTTCACATGTCCTGAAGGACATTATGAGTGGTTTGTTATGCCTTTTGGATTAAAAAATGCGCCACAAGAATTTCAGCGTAAAATAGATACTATATTTAATAAACACTCAAAATTCTGTTTTGTTTATATCGACGATATCTTAGTTTTCAGTCAAACTAAAGAAGAGCATAGAAAACATCTTGAACTTATATTCAATGAGTTTATAACACAATGACTCATTATAAGTAGTAAAAAGATGATATTAGAAAAACAAGATATTGAATTCTTAGGTTTATACATAAAAGATGGAAAAATAGAATTACAATCTCATATTGTCAAAAAGATTTTAGACTTTCCTGATAAATTAGAAGAAACCCAATTGTTACAAGCATTTTTAGGATTATTAAACTATGGTTGCAATTTTATTCCAAAATTAGGACAACTAGTAGGACCTTTATATTCAAAACTAGGAAAACATGGTAAAAAATAGTTCAATACCCAAGATATAGAGTTGATTAAGAAAATTAAATCTTTAGTCTCTCAGTTAGAACCTTTACAACTCCCACTTGAAAAAAGTTATAAAATTATTCAAACAAATGCATCAGCTCAAGGATGGGCAGGGTTACTTCTTCAAAGACCAACAAAAGAGTCCTTTCGAAATGAAGTACAAATTTGTCGCCATGCTAGTGGAACTTTTAATGAAGCACAATCTATTTTACCTTCAACAGATCTAGAAATTCTAGGGGTAACCAACTCTATTGAGAAATTTTAGATATTCCTTGGTAAAGAATTTCTTATATGAACAGATTGTGATTATATAGTTAAATTTGCAAATAAAACAAAACAACAGCGGATGTCTGCTAAGAGATGGATTTCCTTTATTGACTGTATTACTGGAATATGT